GGCTAGCCACAGAGGTCTGTCGAAGTTCTTCCTGCTGCTGCTGCCTCAGATGTGCTGCCGAGTTTACTGCTCTTCCCTGCGGCCACCGTTTCGGTTGAGCGGGGGTCGGATGTAGTTTGCTGCTACTGCTGCTGGTGCTGCTCCAGGTAGACTGGTCCGAAGAAATTGTTTGCCTCCACGGCATCGCGTTCTTGCTGGCAGAGGCCTACACCACAGTAGACGACTCTTCTGCTGCAGTTCCAGCAGAAGCTACTGCTGCTGCTGAAGAGGCTTCCGCGGAGTCGAACGAGCACGCCAGACTGCAGCACCAGCAAAAGCAGGATCAAAGCAGCAGCAGCAGCAACACACTATTGTCGCAACAAAAAGCGTGCCTTCGGGAGGAGGCTGCAACGCAGCGGTACGCTTGGGAGGGGAAAGCTATGATTTGCTTTTGCTGCTGCTGGCGCACTCTTCCTAGCGTTGCAGTGTTGCCTTTGTTTTCGTTTGCTGCCGGCACTGCTGCTGCAGCAGCCGCTGCTGCCACTGCTGCCGCTATTGCTGCTGCAGGGATTGCAGCGACATTGACAAGCAAATGGCTGCTAGCCCAGAGACCCGGAGGATGTTCAGCAATGTCCTCATGCCTGCCCTTCGTTTCTACTGGAAAGCTTACATCCCTAATTGGTATCTGCTGCCGCCGCTGATGCTGTTGCTGCTGCCTATGCTGCTGCTGCTGCTGAGACTGTGCTTGGCAAGTGCAGGCGCCGCTGCGGCAACTGTAGTGGCTGTTCTGTGGTAGCTTTGCTGCTTATGCTTTTCTTTTTGCTTCTGCTTCTGCCCTCACTGTTTACGGTGTGGCTGCTGCTAGGAAATACTGCGCTGCTTTACATGTATGTCCTTTTTTGCTTCAGCTTTTTCTCAGACGGCACTGTTAAGGAGCTAACAAACCTTAAGGCGCTTTACAGGGTATTTGAGCGCTGCTGAGCACAGGCTGCTGTGCCTCGCTGGCTGCTGGTGCTGCTCTTGTTGCTGCAGTTGCTACAAACTGTGCCGCATCACCATCGAGTCAGAACTTAAATCAGCTTGTTGAACGCAAAACAGCAACAGCCTTCTCCACTGCTGCTGCCGCCAGGTGGACCCCCTTATGTGTATGTTCAGCAGAATTCGCTGCTACGCAGCAACTGTTGCTGCGCTAGGCAGCAGCAACAGTCGCAAAAGCGGCGCCTGCCGCCGCTGCACGG